GCTCGATTAAGCGATGAAGACTTCCTCCTCACTCTCCAAAATGTTCGAATTTTTAAAACACCATTTACTTTTCTCTGGCAGAAGCTGAGTTTTGTTCTTCCTCTCTACTTGTAAAGGATATCGAGAAGCGTCCAAATACTTGAACACTTCTTTTAGATCATATTTTCCAAAAAAAAAAAAAAAAAATTTCAATCAAAAATGTTCTTCGAACAACTTTCATTTTCATTGTATGCCGAAAAAGAAACCCTATCGTGCTAAATAATTTTAAAATATAAATAAACACAACGAGGAAAACAAGCAAAGATAATTGTTGACATATGCAACGAATTTTCACGTCGCTTAACAGACATTTCTATCTAACATGTTCTATTAGAACGAGTAATATATTGCAGTCATGACAACATATTCAAAGAATTTCTCTCTTATAAAATTCTATGGCGCATTAAAAAAGATTAGAATATTTCCTGTGTATTTTAATTACAAAAAAAAAAACAAAATCATTTATTTTTATTCACCTGTTTAATTGCATCAATAATTGTTGTTCGAATAAGATCATAATCATTTATTTTTTCTGCACTGCCTAATGACCATTTGGCACATCTCTCATGTACCCAAAAATTTCCATTTAATATAACATCTGATGAGGATTGAAAACCAATATTAAATAATTCTGAATCAACAGGAACTATAATTTTTCCTGTTTCTAATATAAAATTATTTCTTTTTTCATTTGGAATATTTCTGATGACGAAAAAAGAAAAACAATAAAAACAAAAACAACATGATTATTGAATTTACTCAAGAGTTCGAGGTCGAGAATTAATTATTGATTGGGATTGATGCGACGGAGAATGAATTAAAATTAAATCACCTTGACCAAGACTACAGGATGATGGACAATTACAAAATAAACAAATTGGAATATTAGTTAAAGAAGAAGTCATTGAAGATTGAAAACACGAAACAAAACAAAAATAGCAAATTATATCAAATAATGACAATTATATGAAATAGTGGTGGATAATTAAATATTTCTTCATTTCCACCCTATAAAAAACAAAAAAAAAAAAAAAAAAAAAAAAGTTTGATTTAAAAGAGAAAATTTATTTAGTTATTTATTTTTTTCTTTTTACTTACACTGTTCATATGAGCCTCATTTTTCTTTCATTTGAATAACAAAATACCAAAAGAAAATTATTAATTGAACAAGAGAGACAATATCTAGAAAAGTAAGAGAAAAATCATTGAAGCGTGCAATTAATTCGATCTAGCAAAAGATTCATTTAAGAAAACAAAGAAAGAACATAACGGCGGCCATTTTCCGATGTCTATCCTTTTCTCCAGAACGAAGCGGAGGAGAGCAACAAGAACGACCAATGGTCAATCAGATTTAACCAATTAAATTTTTATCACTATAGATGGCGTTAGTTATAAATCCTATACTTATTTTCTTATAATCTAAATGAATTATTCAGATACTTTATTGTGTATAGACATCAATTTGAGATTTTTTTGTTGAATGAGAAATTGCCTCACTATCATTATCCTGACCTGGAACTAACCCAATGGGCTCTACTATCTAGTCTTTTTTTAAATAGTTTAAGTAAGATTTCATATAATTTGTCACTTAAAAAAAAGACGGCTTGAACATTGTGAAAATGGAATTCATTTTTTAATTGAAAAGTGATTCTTCAATCATTCTATTTAAAAACCTTAGAAACTTCAAGTTTATCTAAATTATCTGTTAATTTATTATAATCGTAATCAAAGTCACTCATGTTACTATCGTCATTGACTTCATTACGTCTATAAATTATCGTTTGTTTACCGTTGATTATAAACTGAATAGAAAGATATGACAAGTATTAGTAGTTTTATTTCACTCGGAATGAAAAAGTAAAAGAGGTTCATTGGATAAATATGTGAATATATCTATATTTCGTAGCAAACGAGAAACGATAAATGTTTTTCAAAATCAAGAACAGAGTAAATTGGTCAATAAGGACAAGAATATATATATACATTGATGCTTAATGTCAAATATTGTTTTTTTTTCTTTTAAATGTGTACGGCTAGTCTATCTCTTTCTTGTTGTATCCCATGAGTATTACTCATAGAACAATACACATGACATCATTTGTTTTTTTCTTGTTCTGTACATGAATGGTAGAACGTGTTTCTGACATTACAGAGATTGGTTGTTATGGTCAATGGGACTAGAGATCAGAGCTCATCTCTCAGAATAAGATGTTCATATTAGTGAAGTTTACTTCCAGCAAAATTTACTTGATGGACTATCTACCGCTCAATGCTAGGAGATACCTTTTATGAAGAGGTGCTCACATAGAGAAGTTTTAATGGATATGAAAAAAAAGAAAGAAAAAAAAAACGTTTCGTTCCGGCGAAAATCTTATTTTAGATTTTCTTTCATTGATTGATTTATAAATTAAATTTACAATATGGTAAATCTTTGTTAACAAATCACTCAAATTTCACACAATTTGTTCTCTCTAACAGAAATATTCATATTCAAAAGGCGAGTAAAAAGTTTAAGCATCGACGACAGTTTGAATTGTGTTGATATCTATTTCTACAATCACATAATCGGTCAATAAGCAACGAATGAAGAAATACATACATATTTGAATTTAATACAATCAGTTGAAAATTTATGTCGAAAAGAAAAACGTTATTGGAGATACTTTTTTGAATGTCTCATTTAGTATATTCAAGTATGATGCATAAAACAGGCAAGCAAAAACAGTACTATCAAGCTTTCATACAGAAAAAAAAACGATTTATTATTAAAAAAAAAATAGTATTGAAATTCATTTGATTCCATCAAAAATTATTGGTTTGTGAATTTAGAAATTCATTCATATTCATATGAGGATGTTGTAAAGATACATCATGTTCATGATCTTTCAATATTTTCATTTGACTTGTTTTAATAGCCTCCATTTGTTCTGATATTATCGGATGCATGAGTATTTCTTCGATACACTTATAAACAGAATCTAATTGAATCTCTTCTTGATCATTTTTTATTTCATTTAAATATTCGACATACTTCTTTCTCACTGCATACAAACTATTACATAATGTAGCATTTAAACTACTTGATGATTTTTCAGAATACAATTCCTTTTCTTCTTTGATGAATAAGTCAAACCAAGGTAAAAACGGATTTTGAGATATATGAGTTGTATGAAGTAAAAATCGTGTAAATATAAAACTTGCTTGTAATAAATGATCTTTCATCTGCTGTGTTTCTGAATAAAAACATGTTCCTTTTGTCTCACTTGCCTTGCATTCTAGCGTATATAAAATAGGTAAATGCTTATCAATAGCACACGAACATGTAGCACATTCATTTAATATACGACACTCATGCATTGAATTGATAGCAATCCAAATACTGTCAATTTTTGTTGATGATTCACAATGACAAGTTGTACATAAATTTGCGGATTTGGATATAGAATGTACATACATTTCGATGACATATCGCTTATTTCCATCAATGTCTTGTAATACTAAATTTCGTAATGCGTTACGTATCGTTTCGAGTATGGGTCGGACTAATGTTGTAATCATCATTTGAGCATGTCTTATTGAATGAAATTTATTCACTGTACATTTCGACTTATTTTTTATAAAATCTAATAAACGAATCGACTCATCTGCTGAAAATTTCCAGCTTTCATTAAAATCATTTTCTTGATTTTTATCAAATACCATTTCGTTTGTAGCTTTAATTACAGCTAAATATCGAAATGATTCACTATCAAAACAAAATGTGTTGCGTTTCGAAAATAGAGCAACACTATCAGCATGAAGTTGTTTTAACATGTTTTTCAATACTGGCGCAGTATTTCCTGGTGTGTAAAATGTTGCTCTTGTATTGGTGAAACAAAAGACTATATTATCATGTGCATTTGGTCCAAGAAAAGTAAATAATTCCATAAAACATGATCGAAAAAAACCATTAAGACGAGTAGTATTTGGTTTCAATAAGAAGCAAATAGCATTCAGATGTGGAAGATGATTAATATATTGCAGTATATGTTCAATATTTTTGTTATCTTGTTCTATGCCTCGAGTATCTCCAATACCAGGTGTATCAATGATACGTATTTTAACATTATTATCAATATTGAATATATATGTTTGACAATGTTGTGTAACTGATTGACCTGAATTATTGCGATTTTCGTTTGAATCAGATTGACCAAAATGAATAGTTTTGTCTTCGAATTGATCACCAATTGTAATAAGAAATGAAACAGGAATAAGTACAATAGGTTCACCAGCTTTAGCATCATCAAGTGAATGAAATGCTAAATAGTTAACAAATGCATTGATAAATGTAGATTTTCCAACTCCTGTTTCACCTATCAGTAAAACATTCATTTCATTTGATTCTATTAAAGAAGAAACTTTTGAAATTGAATTTGATGCATTTAGTATTTTCATAATATCCAATTTATATTTACAATAGGAAAAATCAGCAAATACAAGTCGTAATGATAAATTCTTTTGATATTTCTCGAGTGAACGCATACAAAACGTCTCATGATTGTTGGGAATTTTTTCCAGTAGTTCGTCGGAAGAACAAAGATAGTAATTGTTTTGTTGTTGATTAAAACAAATAAGTTTTCCTTCGAGAGTTGACTGATCGTCATTTGTGTCTTCGAAATCAGCGACATTTAAATATTCCATGTTATAATTGATTTTTAGTTTATTGATAAAAGTAGCTTTATTTTGTAGTTTGACTACTGTATCATGAAGAGCTTCTAACTCACAGTTCAATAATTTCAATGATTCACTGTTCAATTCGTTTTCAAATAGCGGTTCCTCAAAATTACCTTGACGGAATTGAAAAACTTTTTTTGCTAAGAGTTGTTGAAATTCCTCATATAATTTTTTAACTCCAGATATTTTTTCATATGTTTCTTCAATAAGACTTTTGAGACATTTCGATAATTGTGGTGATATTTTGACAGAAAATAAGTAATCTAAAGTTCTAAACTTGTTGCATAATGGGACTATTTTCTGTTCGATATTTTGTAGAAATGATGGATCTAGTTTATAAGATATTCTTTGATTAGATGGATCATCGTAATAAATACGTTGTACACTATTTAATGTGTAGGATAATGGTATATTGTGTTTATATTTGAAAATAAATCGATGGATGCTTTGACAAATGTCACTCAAATTTTTGGTATCGGCAAGAGTACGAATTTCATCAATACATGTAAAAATAGTTGGTTTAAGATGATTAATGTTCTGTTGATCTTCTTTTGATAGAAAATTTGCTTCAGATATGGTGAAATACTTGCAAAGCTTTTTCAGTATAGAATCAATTTTATTGCTGTATTCATTATTAGTAAGTTCCAATAAAATGACAAATTCAATTCCTTTTCGGACACTGGTTATTATGTGAGTAGCCCTATCGTTCGACAATGAATGTGGAAGACTATTTCTTACAATCGAAATATCATCAGGTAAATGTTCTTCTTCTTTAATATGACGATAATGAATTAATAGTATTGTATGATCAATAGGTAGTTCATAATTATTCAACATGAGTATTCCTTTCGTAATTTGAACTATGCCTAAAACGATACTTACTCTCAATTCATCTTCAATATCGATTGTCTTTAGTAAATTGATACAATTTGAATTGTCAATTATTTTAAGTTCGCTGACTGGTTCCTTTGTCACATATGTTTTTGAAATAGAATTGGTTTTTACAGGTAAAGTCGTTAGAAGATTATCTGTGTGAGCATCATATAATGATCCCACAACACCATGTGTATTTAAAGCGTAACGTTCAATAACATGTAAAGCCGTCATCAAAGAGTTGCGTCCTACAGGCGACATTGAAGCACTATACTAAATGTACAATATTGAGGTATTGGTTCTTATAGTTGAGCAACTAAACCGACAGAAAATTAATGATAAAGCGAGCAAAGTGACACAAAAAAGCAAACAACAAGTGTGTCAATATGATACTCACAAGACACCTTGCGCCGACTTAGAAGTATATAAACTAGGAGTCTCTCTATATAGTGTTACAGATACGGGTCTTCAATCCGTTATAATCTTGAGACGGGGGAAGTCTTAATTGTCTAGAGCTGTTTTAAAATGAGTGTCTTCTCTATTGATGATTGTGATCGTGAAACTTTTCAAAAAAAACTTGATTAGAGCAGCATGCTCATCGTAGAAAATTTCAAGGTAAATCGTTAACATTAGCCGAAGATATCGATCTCTTTTCTACGATTTTGATCAACTCTCATGCGGAGCTTTAGCCCAAGGTTACTTGATAAAATCAGCAAACTAAAACCGTCTGAAAATAAAAGTTGAACATACAATTGAAAAAAAGAACGTAGATTCCTATTTTCTGTATCTTTCGAAAAATTTCAAGCATACAGATAGACCGTTCGCCATGTCTCACTGATAAACGATAACGACGCAATGATTCAACAAGGTGATATAAAATAACTTGAGAAAGAAATAATATGTAAAAACCAAATGTTTCTACATCTAAGTACATAAGAGACAAACGAATCAAAATTTAAGAAATGTCGCTATTCAAAAGGTTTTTAGAATATCGTACTATAAATTATTTTTTCCAATACTGTTAGAAAAGAATGCATAGGCAGCTATTTTTTATTCGTTTTTATAGCAAATTGGTTGAACGCCTAAATTGATTCATTAGTAAACAGATGAAAACTGATTTGACAACAGTATTTACGTGTGTGTAAAGTACTACCGTTTCGTATTTAGAAACGAATTCTGTTTTTTTTTCACTTACTAGACTCTTTGTCTTGTTGTTGACTGCTACAGTTGTATTTTGACTATGACTGCCTTCAAAGTTCTTTTAATGTATTTTGTTGAAATCTTGATTCAAAGTAATTATTTATAAAAGAACGAAAAAAAAAACAGACGACAACAATGTGCTCGAATGAGAAAAATGACTATGATGAAACCAAAATTAAAGGGTTTTTTCCCAACTTGCACATGCTATATTAATGTGAAAAATCTACTTTATGTTAAAAAGACGAAGCATTTAACGACGTAAATTCGAAGTAAAAAAAAACGACCATAGGAATTCATTTATATCTTTTCTGCATAGTGCGGAAGTAATCATTGATTCCAACTCTCACACGATATTCCAAGATTTCATAATAGTTTTGATATGTTTCTAAAATTTTCTATAGAATAGAAATGAGAATATCTCATTTTGAAATAAAAAACACAGGTTGTAGTTTGTAAAGTTACTTTTCATTTTTACTTATGGTAGAATAGTTCTAAAGGAAATTAGATGGCATTCGAGTTCCACTTGATTGCGTAATGCAATGCGAAGTTACGAATGTCGATCATCGAAAAAATTGTTAGTACGATTTATCACAAAATATTTTTCCCTAAAAAATATTTACGTTTTACACAAATCAAGCTTTAATTGTCAGGAGACATCGAGAAATTTATTTGTCAATCAATCAACTGATCAAAGTATAGAAGGCATTGAAAAGTAGACATGGCAAAATTCGTCTCTACGAACACTTTATCAACGTATATCAATACGTTTCTAATTAATACTGTTAATCCATCATTTAATTATCTACTTGATTCATTATTTATGATCAGCTGTCTTACAGCTGTAATGAATAACATCGACTTATCGAATAGATTGACAGCTAACTTATTATCCTGTTTTCATTTTAGTTATGTCGAAACTTGAACAACAACGAAGTCTATAAAAAAAGAGGATATCGTTATAATGCAGAAACCTTTAACTAATAAAATCAGGCTTTTTAATGCATTCTACACTATATAACAAGTGGCTGAGCTAACCGAGATCTATTCATATTTTATGTTCTCAGAAAGATCAGGGTGTCCATGTAATTCGAACGAGGAAAAATCGGTGGTATATCGTCGGTTGACCATTCGGTATAACGCGACTGTGAATGTGTGGTGTGGGTGTTAAACCAAGATTACACCCGCATTCACATCCTCAAGATAAACAAGAATAAAAGGTTCAATATTATTTTGCATATTGTGTAAAAGAAAAACAAATACTATGTTGGAAAAAATAGAGAAATCATCTTTTCGTTTTGATTGTTCGTTCTTGCTTCTCACGATTGATCGAGCAAAAATAATTTGCATCATGCACACGTGGTAGGAAAACAAACAACGATCACGTTATTTTGTTTCTATCATTGCAGCGGATGGAGTAATTGGAAACGGGATGGGTCGTAAAGCAATGAAATTGACCTCCTCTTAAAATCATGCTTTTAAAGTTTGGGTGTGGGTATGAGTGTGGGTGAGACTCAGTTCTTCCACCACTTTTGGAAGCGCGTTCAACCAAAGTCGGACGTACCTTTTGATCCCGTTCCAGAGATCTATGTCTCCAAAGTTACAGTAGTTTTTGGGTAGTTTTCGGGAAACTTCGGAAATGATGCGGAATTGATCTTAAGTGAAACAAAACAGTCATGACTTATAATAAAATTCGATTGATGTGCGAAGAAACTTTCAGTGATTCTAATCCAAGCTTAGATTTTCGTTCAGGCGAAGAACATGCATTAGTAATTTCATCACTTTCAATCAACGTGCAGTTGAGTCAAATTTTATAGGAGATATTACGGGGTATGGGTGTGGATATGTTGGGTGGAGGTGTGAGCGTATGGGTCGATTCAC